AATTTTTAGGCATCAATTGTTTGGACCAATTACAATAATAAAGGCAAAAATATATTGGATCAATAATAAATATAAGATTAGATTTAGAAGCACAAACTCTAGAGTACAGAAACCGCAACAACAAAGCGAAACCCACATTCATTCTTGAATGTTTTCGAGTTGAAGAAGAAGAAGACAACTCAAATAGAAGCTGTGAGTGGATCTTCATCAACAAGTGGCAGCAACGGCGGCAGCTTCAACGAGCTTATGGCGTACCTCAGTGAAGGCTTAGTAGTTGACGATACTAGAAAATCGTTTGACTTAATTCAATGGTGGAGGGCACAGGCGTTAACTTGGCCAATCCTAACTCGATTGGCAATGGATATATTTTCGATCATAGTCTCCACTATTTCATCCGAACACGCCTTCAGTACGACAGGACGAATACTTGAGGAACGCCGGAATGCGTTGCAAAGGGAAATTGTTGAAACCTTGGTCTGCATTAAGGATTGGGATCGTGCCGATCAACGTCTACAGGATACAATTTCGCCGGCAAGCCAAGAATGGATCGATGAATTTAATCGATTAACATTTAATTTTGAAGACGATCCTTCAGCTTCAAATTAAATTATAAATTTGTAATTTGTAAATATGTATTTACTTTTGACATTGTAATTGTATAACTTTGTAAGCTTGTAAAATTTATAATTTGTCACAAAATGATTGCACTCTTTTTTTCTTACTAAGTTTTTATCCCAATTGGATTTTTCTTGGTAAGATTTTTAATGAGGCAATCATGAATTATGAATTTAAAATTAATATACAAAATTAATTTATTAAATTGTGTTAATATGTATGTTGAATGTTGATTTTAGTTTTTATATAATTTTAACACAAAATAACTTAATAATTATAAAGATTAAAAAGTATAAAAAAAAATTCGGATAATTCGGGCGGGCTCGGGCTGTCCGGCCGGGCTCAAACAGCCCAATAGAAGCCCGCGGCCCGTTCACGGGCCTTTTCGGGCTCGGGCGGGCGGCCCAAAATTTTTGGGTGGGTCGGGTTGGGCTTCAAGCAAAAACTCGGTATTTTTGGGCGGCCCGTCCAAAGTTCCAGCACTAATCCAAACTTGCCACAGCCCTAATACGACACAAAATTATAGATTGGGTGTTTTGTGCATTCTCTAACACCCTTTCTCACTGCAATAGGTAGGTCACTATCCTTACAAAATTCGGGATCAGGATTACCTTGTGGAGCTTTTGATCTCAAATCCGGGTCCAATTCTTGGATTTGCTCGAGAGGTACTTGTTGCTCTATCTCACTTTGGTTCTTTTTCCTTCTAGAATAGGTGATGAGATCTTTGTTGTTCTTGGATTGAGTAGTATCTGGGGAACGAAGACTCGGGAGACTTGGGAGACTTGGGAGTTCATTGTTTTGGATAGGCTGAATAGTGTTAGGAGAAGAAGGTCTTGGAGGTTTAGGTAACTCGGTAGGTGGATCAAAGTATAGTCCAGTCGATTCATTTTGGTGAGCAAAAACAGGTGACTCGGGCTAGGTGTTGACCGGATTTGGTGAGGTGTGGTAATCATCTAGGGCACTGATTTCCATATCGAGATCCCAAAGCTGGTATTCCTGTGTGAAACTATTCTCCCCCTGAATATCAAATTTGGGGTAATATGGTTGATGCTCGAAAAAGGTAACATCCATGGAATTGTAGAATTTCTTTGTGGCTGGAGAGTAACACTTATACCCCTTTTGGTGAGAAGAATACCCTAAGAAAATGCACTTAATGGCTCTAGGATCAAGTTTTCCTCGGTGCTAGCTATGGATATGTACAAATGCAGAACATCCGAACATTTTGAGAGAAATGGAGAATATGAGATGGGTGGTTGGAAAAGTTTTGAGTAGTATTTGGCACAGTGTTTGGAACTTTAGGACTCGAGAGGGCATTCTATTAATGAGGTAAGTTGCGTTAAGTATGGCTTCCCCCCAATATTGTTTTGGTACATGTGTAGAGAACATGAGGGATCGGGCCACTTCTAGGAGGTGTCTGTTTTTTCTTTCGGCTACACCATTTTGTTGATGAGGTGTGTCAACACAGGAGCTTAGATGAACAATCCCTTGGCTTATCAGATAATCACTAAGAATGGATGCAAAATATTCCTTTGCATTGTCCGTTTTCAAAATTTGTATTTTGGTTTGGAATTGGGTTTGAACCATAGTATTGAACTTTTTGAATATCGGACCTACCTCTGATTTTTCTTTCATTAGGAAAACCCATGTAAGTTTGGTGTGATCATCTATAAATGTTATGAACCAACGAGATCCGGTAATATTTGTGACCCTAGATGGTCCCCACACGTCATTGTGAACTAACAAAAATAGGAAGTTCGAATATGTTTTGCAAACTGACAAACTTCACAATGAAACTCATTCAGATTTTTATTATTGAAAAGGGATGGAAAAAGTTTCTTGAGATATATAAAATTTGGATGTCCTGACCTATAGTACCAAAGCATTATTGCACTATTCCTTTTTGAATGAAAAACAGAAACTGGACTTTGACTTATAGACACTAAACAATCAATATTGTGATCTTTCCTTTTAGAAGAATCATTCGCCTCAAGTAGATAGAGCCCTGAGCACTCTTTAGCATTGCCAATCATCTTCCTCGAGTCCAAGACCTGAAATTCACAAGAGTTTGGAGAGAATTTAGTGACACAATTTAGGTCTCAAGTGAGTTTACTGACGGACAACAAATTGCAGTTTAATCGAGGCACTAAAAGAACATTAAACAATCAATATTGTGATCTTTCCTTTTAGAAGAATCATTCGCCTCAAGTACATAGAGCCCCGAGCACTCTTTAGCATTGCCAATCATCTTCCCTGAGTCTAAGACCTGAAATTCACAAGAGTTTGGAGAGAATTTAGTGACACAATTTAGGTCTCGAGTGAGTTTACTGACGGACAACAAATTGCAGTTTAATCGAGGCACTAAAAGAACAGAATTGAGTGAACAGAATTGAGTGTTAGGTTGCTTGCAATTTTTACTGATCCGGTTCCAATCACTTTGGAAAGTGACCCATTTGCTATACTGACTGTCATATTCTTATGGCAAGGTCTCCAGTCATGTGATCTGATGCTCCTGAATTCACAATCCATGAATTCAAATTATCTTTCCTAACACTCAAGGCATTGATGGAATTACCTTTTTGAGCTCCAGATCCGGTTCCAATAGTCATGGTGGACTCGGCTATTCTTGTTTGTGATTGCTTGATCAATTGCTTCAAAATCTCCCATTGCTCCTTGTTGAAAGGACTGGGCTCGGCTGGTGCTGAATTTTCTTCCCTGGTAGCAGTGTTGCCTCGACTCTCTCTGTTTTGTGGACGTGAGGGCTTCCAATCTGTTGGTTTCCGGTGGATCTTCCAACATGTGTCTTTGGAGTGACCAGGCTTTCGGCAATGTTCACAATATGGTCGTTCCCTTTTTTGCTTGTGGTCATTAATGTAATTTTGTGACCCACGAACAGCTAGGGCAGAATTCTCCAACTGAGATGTGGTAGTTTGAGTCCCCAACCAGGAGACTGAGTTGAGGCCTCATCCCTTGAATTCTTCCTCGAACTTCATCAAGGGTTTTGTTGAGCCCAAACAAGAATTCTATACACCCTTTTTCTCTCAACTATTTGTCTGTACTTGATTCCATCTTCAAGGCACTTCCACGAGTGTTCTTCGAACATGTCCATCTATTGCCAATATCGTGTGTGTGTTGAACATGTCCACCTGTTGCCAATATCGTGTGTGTGTTAAAGTATTGGGTCACGATCAAATCTCCTTGCCGCAAATCATGAGAATGCTTTCAATCTCAAACAACTCTGAAGTATTTTCCTTGTTTGAATAAGTTTCTCTTACTGCTTCCCAGATTTCTTTTGCTGTTCCATAAAGAAGAAAATTTTCTCCTATCTCGTTGGTCATGGAATTAATTAACCATGACATAACCATATTGTTCTCTGATTTCCAGATTCTGAACTTCAGGTCATCTGCCTTGGGAGGAGCAGCTACACCAGATAGTAGTTGTCTTTTCCCTTGCCACATATGAACATCATCACAGATTAGGACCATTGGAGATAATCGTTCCCATTGAGTTTGTGTCCTGTTATGAGGATTTGACTGCCGTCTGACATTCCACTGGGGTTGGAGAGAGTGGAATCTTGATGAGAGGTGACGTCAGATGTTGTGGAGGACGAACTGAGTTTCTCTGTAGCCATTCCGAATTTCACCATGCGAGCATACGGACTTGTACGGACGCGCTGTACGGACTTGGAGAAGATTAACTTTATTCCTCTGCTTAGAAATGTATATTACATCATCACAGATTGGGACCATTGGAGAAGATTAACTTTATTCCTCTGCTTAGAAACGTATATTACAGCCCTTCTTATAGATGGAGGTTCATCTAGTAATTAGGAAAAATATCCTACCGAATATCCTAATTTAAGTAACTACAAAAAAGAGGAAAATTCTAATCTAAGGAAATCGGGTAACATATCACCCAGGCCTACTGTAATTTACAGAGCTATTCTAGGAAATAAATAAGCATATTCTATAGCATAAAAATAGAATATTCTACAGTAGGCATCTGTTAGGAACCTAATATTTAAAAGTCTTTTTTTCCATTTCTTTTGAGTTCAGGATCCTAACAAATTCTAAATATCTCGGGCAATGTCATGGCCTCACCCCAAGATGCTTCCTCTTTTCTACGTAAACATTGTTGAAGAAAGTTTTTCCAAATGATGTCATCTATGTTAGCAAAGCATTTGAACCAATGTTAAGGAACAAGTAGAAGGCCAGTGAAAACAGACTGTTTTATGCTTTCTTAAAAGTATGCATGCAAAAAATAAAAGGCCCAACACCCAAAAAAAAGAAAGAAAAAGAAAAAAGGAGGATCCAGCTCAAAGAGAAATTGCATGGTGCAAACAACTCCAAACCTAACTTCCTAAATAGAAACAATGTTGGTGGACTCACCGTTCCAAGAGTTAGCAGGCTTTTATTGATGTAAGATCCTTCTTTCCGTCTTACGCCAGTAGTTTCAGCTTTGGAGCTCTCAGAACCTGCCAGATCGATGAGGTTCTGCATGTATAAGTAAGATATAAGGAGTTACGAAAGAATCATGGATATTTCATATAAACAGCCCAAGGATCAACAACTAAAGTGAAACATAATTATAAGATGAGTATGGTTCCTTATAAGCTTTGAAAAAATAGAAAGAGAAATTGAAGCTAATCCTAAATATAATTGCTGGATATTTACCAATTGTGACAGATTCACAGCTTCCCCTTCACTATTTTCACCACACGGACTGCTCTCTATCGTCTGTTAACAAATAGTAAAAGAAACTTTGTAAAGAAAAGTGGAGAGAGATAGAGAGGAGAGCTATATGTGCATGCGTAAACTATCATTGGAACATCGAGTAGTCACAATATCAGGCCAAGACCATATAAAGAAGGTTGTAATCATGCTTCAAAATGAGTCACACTTGAGAAATAAGGGAACAGAAAAACTAAACACTGAAAAAATAAAAAATAAAAGAAGGCAAAAAGATGGTGAATGAGCCTCTAAGAACATTAGAGAAAAGGAATCAAACACTAGCCATGTGGTCTGCTACTACCTTTTCTATTGATTTGATTTACACAGAGTCAAGCCCCGTTTACAAAAAGCTTTGACTTTGATTGATGATCATTTAACAATGGTGTTAGGGCATTCTCAGGTTGGAAGCCTATTGATGTTAAGGTTTTCATATCTTCATTTCTATATAAGGGCCGTGCCGACTACTAGCAAGCTTTACATGGAATGGAGATGTAAAGAAATCCTCATGAATTAAGTGATAAAGCCATTCCTCATGCATTAAAAGAGGACACAACATATAGCATAGACAGATCCCGGTTTCATTATAGTTTTTTGATGCAATGGTTTGTAATGTCAAGAAATTTCAAAAGGCAATCTAATGCGAGTAATCGCAAGAATTACAATATGATAACCAAGAAACGGCAAGGGAAAATAAAATAAATCAAAGGCTGTTGCATGCTTCCTCTATGATAGAAAGATACCAGTGTAAATATTGTATGGCTCCTGCTGCTGAGTAAATTGAAATTTGTAGATCCAACATGCCGGTGCTCTGTTGGTGGCATGGAATTTCATCACAAGTAAAATAGGTGTCATTGGTACGACAACTTTAAGAAACGTACTGAAACAGATTATTCCTCGATGATAAGTAACAACTAATTACTGATAACAACTTCTCGTGGACTAATAGCTGACATCTATAGAGTTTGGTATTAAAATTATGACACAGTATCGGCATGACTTATTTATCTAATAACCTTAAATGTTGAAGACGTTCGCATCATCATCACATGCATTGATTTACTTTACAATCTTTAGCACTTCTACACTTCAATGGGCCATGTAATGACACCTCTTTAACAAGTAAAACTGTGATAACCACACTACAACAGGTTAATTTATTAATTTAACATTGGATCCATGGATATTCATCTGGGATGTGATATGAGGCATTTAGTGTACAGATATAACTTACCTTATGAGCTTTATTAACAGCAGTAAGATTACAGTTAAAAACACAGTGAAATCTAATGACAACGAAATAGTTGTGCTTGTTGTTTAGCTTAACAGTAATAGCAAACATGATATGACATTTGTTACCTTCTCCGGCTGCTATAAGTGAAAGGGCATGAGCAGGGGAAAGTACAACTTCTTCTTTTACCCCCTCGACAAAGGTTCCCTACAATCATCAATTTAAACAATAAATGAACATCCCAAACCTTTAGGAACTAATAGCTCACATAAAGAAAGCAGTGACACAAAAGATCTCAAATAAAGATTCTGAAATTGAGCCTCCAACACACAAGGATTTGAGATAAAAATTTATTCCGCTCCTTCAAATCGCAACATACTGCCAAATAAATTTTAGCGTTTTCCCTTCTTAAGAATGATAAGAGAATGATACATTGAAATGAAAACCATGGTGGCTAAGGTGGCTAAATTGAGATCTTTCTTTTGGGAACCGGTTGTTCTACAGTGGCTAGATGTCTTGATGGGTGGAAAAGAGCCTTTTTGTCTCAGGGAGGGAGATTGACTCTAATTAAATCGGTTTCATCATCTCCACCGATTTACTTTTTATCAATCTTTCGAACATAAAGGAGTGGCTGGGACTTCTTGTGGGGAGGGTTGGAGGAGGCATGTTTGGATCTCCTTGTAGCTAGGGAAAAGGTCTGTAAGACTAAAGAGAAAGGCAGCTTGGGGGCTGGGAACTTGGTTTCTCGAAACAAAGCTTTACTTTCTAAATGGCTTCGGAGGCATTCGAGGGAAGAAGACTCACTCTGGCATCGGGTGATTAGCAGCAGATACTGTTCGGATGTTTGTGGTTGGTTGTCTGGAGAGGGTGGTAGGTATCATTTAGGTGTCCTTAGAAAGCAACTCGAGCCTTGCAAAATGAATTTTTTGCCCGTGTTAAAATTAAGGTGAAGGGTGGTAATAGAGTGAGATTTTGGGAACATGTGTGGGTGGGGGAAGTTTGTTTCTCTAATCATTTCCCGAGTCTTTGCATAATTTCTTACCTTAAAAATGCATCAATTCCTTCATTTTACTCTTTTGATCATGATAACATTGTTTCTTAGAATCTTCACTTTAGTAGGGACCCTAGTGAGAGAGAATTGGTTGAGATTTTGAAGCTTTTGGATATTCTTGGAAGGGGTTAGGCCGAATGTGAGTTTGTCAGATAGATGGGTTTGGGATCTTGAGGGTCATGGGTTGTTTTCCTGTAAGTCTTACTTCAACTTCTTGATTGATGATCACTCCCTTCCTGATTTCAAATTCTATCATTTTATTTGGAAAGCCTTGGTTCCTATTAAAGTTCAGGTGTTTAATTGGCTGCTTGTTTATAGTAAACTTAACACTCATGATTTGTTACAAAGAAGAAAGTTTTGTTTATTTCTGTCTCCTGGTTGGTGTGTTCGTTGTAGAAAAAATGGCGAAACTGTTGATCATCTATTCCTACATTGTCCCTTCTCCCCGTGCATTTGGTACCGAGTTTTATCTGAGTTTGAAGTTTCTTGAGTGATCCCAAAAGCGGTTACGCAAATCTTCAATGGTATTTTTTGGATAGTAGAAGGAGAAGGCTTTGGAATGTTGCCATTCTTTCTGTTACTTGGGCTCTTTGGTTAGAGAGGAACAGCCGAATTTTTTAGGACATAGAGGGAGATATTAATGTAGTTTGGGACAGAATCAAGTTTTGTGTGGCTTTATGGTTGTCTCAAGTTAAAGGCCTCACTGCTTTTTCCTTTTCGGATTTGCTTAGAGGATGGGATTTAGTTCTTCATTAGATTTGTGTTTTTATTGTTAGCTTTTCAGTGCCAGCTTTGTTTTGTTTAGGTGGACGCCTTGTCCCCTGTTGTACCCTTTATTTTTATCTTTTTTCAATGAAATTTTGTTTCTTTATCAAAAAAAAAAATGAAAACCATGGTGTACTTTTAGTTTTTACATAAAAGGGAAAAGGACTTTCATAAGAATGCTACAACCATTGTACCATGACCAGAACAGGCAATATCTGTTTTGCATTATACAGCAATAAATTTCTTTTAGAAGATGTCTATTAGTAGGATCTGTTAGCTGGGGGAGGGCATTAGTAGATTGTTAGTAGTGGTTAGAGGAGAGTTGGTAGTATAAAAGGGAGGGATTAGTTGTTAGTTGGGGTATGTCTGATTTGGGAATTGTTGGTTATCATTTGGGGCTTGGGCAACCAAGATGGGAGAGTTGGATAGTCTATCGAATACTATCTCAGTTAGGGTTTCCTAATTGCTTGTATCAAAGATTTTCATCAATAATAGATCTCTTGCAGTTAAATTCTTCTCGTTTAGATCAGTTTCCTATCATCTATACTGCATGCTTTCATCACCTAAAGCGGAAGATGATTATGTTCTATCCCTTCAGAAACCATTGATTTGTGGATGTAGGAATTCAAACTACCGTATAGGGCAATTGTTAGTTTCCTATTTTTGTGGATCTATAGTTTCTAGAGATATTATTCTGTTGTGTATAGCTGTAATTGACTTTCCTTAAAATTAGGATTAGCTCCTAGAAATCAGGATCAATTCAAACAGATCCTTGTGTATTTATGTACCCGAATTGTTTCTAATGAATCATCAGAAAATTCCAATCCTGTTCTGCTTCATGGTATCAGAGCCACAGGTTTTCTGAACCCTAATTTTCATCTGTCTGGCGGCCGGCCCTAGCCTATCCTCAATTCCCGTTTTTTTTTTTCACCTCTGTGAAAATCGAGCCCTTCCTCTCTCTCTCGGAAATTTCATCCACCATGGTCGACTCTGAGCAGACTTCCAGGGACTCATCCTCATCTAACACTCCATCTCTCAATACTCCTATCAATCCTCATATCACTCCCAAAAACAGTATTACCCCTATCATCAACCACAAACTCAATGGCCACAACTATCTCCAATGGTCTCACTCCATGATGATGTTTATCAGTGGACGAGGCCGTGATGATTATCTTACAGGTGTGGTTGTCCAACCAAATTCCAGTGATCCTAAATTTAAAACTTGGAGGGCAAAAAACAACCTAGTCATGTCCTGGTTAATCAGTTCAATGACTACTGAGATAGGCGAAAATTTCCTCCTTTACACTTCAGCCAAAGAAATATGGGACGCAGCTCGTGACACCTTCTCTAGCAGTGAGAATACCACAGAACTCTTCCATGTGGAGAGTATCCTACATGATCTAAGGCAAGGAAAAAACACAGTCACCACCTTTTTCACCACCCTGACGCGGTATTGGCAACAGTTGGACCTCTTTGAATCTCACGAATGGAAGTGCCCTGATGACATAACCTATTTCAAAAGAATAGTAGAAACCAAACGCATCTTCAAGTTTCTGATGGGTCTTGATAAGTCTCTTGATGAGGTGCGAGGTCGAATACTCGGAACCAAGCCCTTGCCAAGTCTCCGCGAGGCCTTTTTCGAGGTTCGTCGAGAGGAGAGCCGCAAACGAGTCATGATGGGACATTCAAATACACCTACGTCCACTGATGGCTCAGCCATTGCTGCTACCAAAGACCACACGTCCATGGTCGAACCTGCTGCCTGTGCAGCTCGCGGAATGTCTCAGACTCCTAGAGACAATCGGCCACGAAGGGGACGTCCTTGGTGCGACCACTGTAAGAAGACCGGCCATGTTAAAGAAACCTGCTGGAAGTTACATGGAAAGCCACCAAATTGGAAGCCAAATAGGGCTACTGGCGACCGTGAGAGTCGGGTAAATGCAATCTCCATAGAAGCAACTAAATCCCATAACCAAGTCTCTTTCACGAAGGACCAGTTGGAACTGCATCAGCACCTGATTAGCAAAGCATTTCTGTCAGCCGGCTCATTGACAACTGAGACAGGGAACGAATCTGTACACAGTAATGGAAACCATGCCCTTCATGTGGCTTAGTCACCTTCAACATCTTGGATAGTAGATTCAGGCGCATCATATCACAAGACAGGTGATAGATCACTGTTTTCAACTTATACTCCGTGTCAGGGTTATCAAACAATGCGTATTGCCAATGGTTCACGCTCGAGAGTTGTTGGAATAGGAACCATATATCTCTCGAGCAATCTTATTCTACACTCAGTGTTATTTGTCCCTGACCTTGATTGCAATCTACTCTCTATTAGCAAAATAAACCGTGATGTTCACTGTGAGACTAAATTTATTGCCAAATCTTGTGTTTTTCAGGACTTGGGTTCGGAGAAGATGATTGGCAATGCCGAACTTTGTGCAGGCTTGTATCTCCTCAAAGTAGACTCCTCTTCTGTCCCAGCTCAGAGCCATAATAAGCATAGTGTCAGACCTCAGTGTTGGTCCGTTCAGAGTCATGAGTCAATAAGTCAGTCCAATAAAACCAGTGCAATAATGTTGTGGCACTACCGTCTAGGTCATCCAAATTTCTTGTATTTGAAACGCCTATTTCCATCATTCATTAATAAAGATGCAAAGTTATTTCAATGTGATGTTTGCCAATTATCAAAGCACACTCAAAGTACATATATCCCACGACCATACAAACCAACTCACCCTTTTTCACTTATCCATGGTGATATATGGGGGCCAACCAGAATCCTCAATATTTCTGGAGCTAGGTGGTTTCTATTGTTAGTTGATGATCATACCCGGTTAAGCTGGACTTTCCTCATGAAAGATAAATCTGAAATCAGCCAAATCTTCAAACATTTTCATGCCATGATTCGCACTCAATTTCAGGCCACAATTCAATTCCTCAAAACTGATAATGCCCGTGAATTTTTCAACTCCATCCTTAGTCCTTATCTCCAATCTTATGGCATTGTTCATCAAAGCTCATGCGTGGACACACCCCAACAAAATGGTGTGGCAAAACGCAAAAATCAGCATGTGCTTGAGGTTGCTCACTCACTACTCTTCCACTCTAATGTACCTAAGAAATTCTGGAGTGAGGCTGTTCTTACTGCCACCTATCTCATCAATCGGATGCCCTCACGTGTCTCAAATTCAAATCTCCAGTGCAAACACTCCTTGATTCCTATCCAAACTCACATTTACTTTCCCAAATTCCCCTTAAAATATTTGGATGCACTACATTTATTCATATCTACCCTCATAGCCGAGGTAAACTTGATGAAAGAGCACTCAAATGCATCTTCATTGGATACTCACCAAACAAGAAGGGATATAAATGTTTTTCTCCTCTCACCAAAAAAGTCTATCACACCATGGATATCACTTTCTTTGAAGATAAACCATTTTATCCCAATCCTGTAATTCAGGGGGAGACAAACACACATGAATCACAAAATTGGGATTGGACTTCTCTCATTGATTCGGTAACAAGTCCAATTCCACGCAATTCGGCTCTTCCCCTACCTGACCCGCAATCTCCATCATCTTCAACTCCACAAACTACAAGTAGCTTTCCAAACACATTTGAGTCACCCAATTCACCATCCCATGAGTCAGTAATGTACCCAAAACATCTCCTTCTTCCTAATGAGGCAGTAAGAGTCTATACTAGGAGACAACAACTTCAACAGCCTGTTCAAAATCAGCAAAACCAGGAGTCTAATCCGAGCTCAAGAAATCCAGAAATAACACAGGATGAGGCTGAACCTATCACAGAATATAGTGTTGAAAAGGTGACAGGAGATGATCCAAACTCAGACCTACCGATTGCTCAGAGGAAGGGAGTTCGCTCATGTACACAACATCCCATCCGCAACTATATGACTTACTCCAAACTCTCCCAGAGATTCAGGGCATTTGTGACTACTCTAGACAAAATCTAGATTCCCAGAACAGTTCATGATGCATTAAAGGTCCCCGAATGGAGAGCTGCTACTCTAGAAGAATTTCATGCCCTTGAAAAGAACGACACATGGATCCTAACAACTCTACCACCTGGAAAGCAAACAGTTCGGTGCAAGTGGATTTTCTCAGTGAAACAAAAAGCTAATGGAAGTATTAAATGATTCAAAGCCCGCTTGGTAGCCAAGGGCTACACTCAATCGTATGGAATTGACTATCAGGAACCATTTGCTCCCGTAGCCAAACTCAATACAGTGCGTGTTTTGTTATCCATTGCCGTGAACGAAGATTGGCCTTTAATTCAACTTGATGTGAAAAATGCCTTTTTGAATGGGGACTTAGTAGAAGAAGTATATATGGATATACCTCCTGGGTTCGAAACTGATCGTATGCGAGGCAAGGTCTGTAGACTACGAAAGTCACTATACGGGCTCAAGCAATCACCTCGTGCATGGTTCGACAAATTCACGAGGGTGCTAAAACAAGATGGCTACTTACAGTCTCAAGCCGATCATACTCTATTCTACAAACACTTCACCAACGGTAAGATCACTGTGTTAATAGTGTATGTTGATGATATAGTTCTCACTGGGAATTATGAAGAAGAAATAAGGAGACTTAAGCTTCTATTATCCAAAGAGTTTGAAATCAAAGACTTGGGACATCTAAGGTATTTTTTGGGAATGGAAGTGGCTAGATCAAGGACTGGAATTTCAGTTTCCCAGCGAAAGTATGTCTTGGACCTCTTAAAGGAAACTGGTATGAGTGGATGTAGGCCCCTAACACGAAGTTGATGCTTCGAACTGAAGAGATGGCTGTGGATAAAGGACAATATCAACACTTAGTAGGGTAGCTGTTCTACTTGACTCACATGCGTCCTAATATAAGTTTTGCAGTAAGCCGTGTTAGTCAATTTCTAAGCAATCCTTCAGTCACACACATGGAGGCAGTGTACCGTATTCTTAGATACCTTAAAAGGGATCTTGAAAGGGACTCATGTTCAAAAAGACTCTTAATCACTCCCTAGATGTTTATACGGATGCGGATTTGGGCTGGATCCCCCACTGACCGAAAATCAACTTCAGGGTATTGCTCCTATGTATGGGGAAATCTGGTGACATGGCGCAGTAAGAAGCAGCAGGTGGTGGCACGCAGTAGTGCTAAGGCAGAATTTCGAGCCTTAGCTCACGGTATTTGTGAAGGAATCTAGTTAAAACGGCTACTAGATGAACTTAAAGTTAGCATTTCTGGTCCTATAGATATGATGTGTGACAACCAATCAGCTATAGCTATTGCCAAAAACCCTATCCATCATGATAGGACGAAGCATGTTGAGATCGACAGACACTTCATCAACGAGAAGATAGAGAGCGATGTTATATCACTAAAACATGTCCCATCTAGGCATCAAGTAGCAGACATCCTCACAAAGGCGCTCTTTCGTCCAAACTTTATTGAGCTAAGTTCTAAACTTTGTTTAATGAGTATATACCACCTAGTTTGAGGGGGAGTGTAGGAATTCAAACTAGCCGTATAGGGCAATTGTTAGTTTCCTATTTTTGTGGATCTATAGTTTCTAGAGATATTATTCTGTTGTGTATAGCTGTAATTGACTTTCCTTAAAATTAGGATTAGCTCCTAGAAATCAGGATCAATTCAAACAGATCCTTGTGTATATATGTACCCGAATTGTTTCTAATGAATCATCCGAAAATTCCAATCCTGTTCTGCTTCAGATTACTATAATGAACCAGAACGAGAGGACAGAGACAATCAGCAATGGCAATAACCAATGTACTTCAGATAGCAACAGTATAAAGGGAACTGGGGAAGTTAACACCTAAACAAGGATCAGAAAAGATTATTAAATGAATATGAATACCTGAGCATCCTCTCTAATTCGTAAATTTTGTCCTGCTGGATTCAACAAGTCATTAACAACCTGAAATGAAAGAAGCCTTAAGGATAGTAAAGCAGTTGAAAAGGTGTAAGCAACAGTAAAAGTAGATTACTTAGAATATGTATTCAGAAAAACGAAGTTTGTTAGTTTCATAAGAAACACAACCACCAAATTGATGCATCGTATGCAAAGCATGGAAAAAATAGTACCTCATTATAGATCTCCAAGTATGAGACACGAAGAAGAAACTCCCGATTTGGAGTCTGGCAAAGACAAATATGACTTTTAGTATTCCTAACCTGGAAAGTACTGGAATAAGTAGCACAAAGAGATGACCGTATCATATATAAAGTACCTCTTGGATGATGCTAAAAGCATCCTTGACAGCCAACGGTATTATTCCAGGAGATCTTTGATCACCCTGCATTGGTGCAAAACCAACATAAGCACACGAATGACGTTTATATCTAGTCTCGTAGCTTTTTTTTTTGAAAAGAAATGGCTGACTCGCCATATTTAGTATGTAAATGCATCAAGCATATGTAAACCATTAAGCAGGCTGCAAAAGCGAGGATTTAGAAATGGATGATACCCTTCTATGTTAGATTAAGAAGTTGTACCAACCTTACATATTGCCTTTATAAGAAATACTTCTTAAAGACGTAAGAAATCTCATTAATACATAATATTTCTTATTTCTTTTTTATTTTTGATACCCAGAAATCCCCTGAACCCACTTTGTGAGCCCAAGTTAGAAACTGGAGCCTTCCGCTAAACCCTACAATCTTTGGAAGGCATAAAACTATGACTTTTGTCATGTAGGTGCACATGAAGGGAAACAACATACACCGTATTCAACCTTGTATGTATATCCACACAATCTAGTAATACTATGATGAGGGTAAATATTTGATCTCACATGCATAGTGTGCGTCTTCCCACTACTTGTCACTCCATATGCAAAAATTGTACCTGTGAGAAAGATATAATAGACTAATTAGATAAACTACACAACACCATTTCCACAATTTGGACATATGCAAATGCCAAGAAAAGCAACGACTTATAAGGGAAAAACTGCTAATGATTCTAATCAGCAAGTGTCATCCTCATGCCCTTCCTATCAACAACCAATGAATGAGCTTGGCAAGCGGCGAAAGGAATACTAACTAATTCATAGAAATACTTCCACTGGCCACACATTACAATGAAAAAATGCAATGACGAACAACAAACACCAAGGCTAAATCAAAAGAGATATAAGAAAGCCAAAAATGCCTTCGAAATTTTGACTTAACAAAGCCATAGGATGTAAGATCTTTACCATTGATGCCTTCCATAGCGCCACTAACGACATGTTGAGCAGCAACATCATAGACATGTCTTGTTGTGGTTGTAGGGCCAAACACACGATCTAGAATATTGTAACAAAAATAAAGAACAACAAATACAATATTCAAGCATATCTTAACTGAAATAAATTCTAAGCATATCTTAACTGAAATAAATTCTAACAAACCATTCGTTGCAATTCCCTCAAGCAATATACCAAAAATATAACTTCTCCTAATAAAATAAAGCATAATGAGGATTAGGCATTCACAGAACTATCTTAACTTACGATATTTCAAAACATTTGACTTGCCTAACTAACCAGGGAAGAAATATCTTACATTCTCTATTATGCCATTTAAAATGTAGGCCTACGGACACTAAAATTAGAGCAACTAAGCAAGTACATTCAATTTGGATTTTATATTAATTTAAACTTTTAATGCCAATTTCATTTTTGATCTAAATGCTAGAAGCAACAGATTCATTTTCCTTTCTTTAAGAACAGATTCATTTTCCTTTCTTTCAGTAAATAACTAGAAATTGAATAATTTACCATATGCATATGCTATTGACGGATTATGTTCATTCCGCACGATAGTTTCTCCATCTGCATACCATGCAATCTCCTCTCCCTGGCGAATTTCCCTCGGACTACCCAGACATAGACCAACAGTCAATAACCACTCAAAAATCTTAGTAATGAAGCTCAGTTCAGAAGACCAAAATGCACCTGAGTGGGCGAAAACGGACTGTCACCGTGACATTTTCTTTCGATCTCTCCGTGTCCAACGTCCCACTTTCCGAGTAAAAGTACTGCGGCTTACTTCTAGTTGAGGATGATGCAGGAGAGCTCTGACAATCAATAGAGGTTTCCAGAAACAGTTTGGAAGAAGACGTGGTTGAAGATGATGGAGAATTAGCAGCTTTTGAGCCAGTGGAACCCAATTTTTTTTTCCATCTCGACCCTTGTCTTGATGCCATTACCTCTGAGAGTCAATTCTTCAAAACAATGGGAATCGTTTCCACTTCAATATCGTTCAGAAACAATTCTTAATGTAGATTGAACTAGTTAGATTAAAAACAAAAACAAAAAACAAAAAAAAAAACCATGTTCTAAATAAATCTTTTTAAGTTTTAACAAGTTAAACAGAAGTACGCTAAACCCAATTGGCAAAAACAAATTCTTAGGCAGCTGAATTGGGTTCTCCAAAATAATGTAGACAAAACATGGAAATTACACGATTTCAGAGGTTTAATCCCCATCTTAAGGATCTAAAAGAAGAAAAATTTAATCAAAAAAGGAATTTAGCAGAAAACACTTTCAGACAGTCCATCATTAGTCGAGTTGACCTCAAAATTTAATAAACAATTAAAATAATCGAGAAATAAAAGTGTCCAAATTTTGCTTCCCTTTACGTTCCTTCTTTTCTCAGCAACCAAACACAATTTCAATTAGAGAGGGAAAAAATTAACGAAATCGCAGTTAGTTAGTATAACTGTTCAACAAAACCTTTCTTAAATTACCACGAAAATGCAAAGTGAGCGAAAAATTGAAGCAAATTCTCGGAGCTAAGCACAACTGCTTCAGCTAATAATCCAAACCTTCCAATTTACTCCATTTTCCTCCATTTTTTTCTCGATAACCAAACAGAACCTCATTTTCTGAGGATAAGATTTTAGAAGAACAAGAACAATACCTGCGACAACAAAATCACACGAGCATTGCGCAGAGAAATCGAAAACTCAGAGTCTTATACGGAGATCTTCTTCGAAATCAGATCTGAGAACATCAACAATTAAAAACCAACATAATCATCATCATCATCATCATCATTACAGAGCGAGAGTCAAAGAGAGAGAAAAAGAGATTATGGAGATGGTTCAGCTTTATTATATTCTGTTCAAGCTTTTCTTACTTGCCTTGGAAGCGATGCCCTTCATCAAAGGCAAACCGCATTTCTTAATCCAACTTTTCAGAGCCAGAGAGAGAGAGAGAGAGAGAGAGAGGAAAAAAAAGAAAAGAGAAGGAGAATGTGTACTTACTTACACCTATACATATTACATACAGAGAGAGAAAGGAAAGGAAAGGAAAAGGAGAGAGAGAGAGAGAGAGAGAGAGAGAGAGAGAGAAGGCCAGCTAGTCTAGAGTGAGTGGTGAAAGGCCGCAACGGTGGGACAGGGAAGTGCAGTTTTTCCACACTTTTTTTTTCATGCTTATTCTTATTGGAGAATTCCTTTTTGGTAAGGTAATGAATTTACTATATGATATTTATAAAAAAGGCACCTTAAGTATTTTTTAAATAAATGACCCAAATTTTTATAAAATTACACAATATAAATCAGGTTAAATTAATGATGAGTTTATCATTTATACTGATTGATTTGATGGTTGATCAGTGATTAACCAATTTTACTAATATTTATCCTTAATAAGCCATTGATAAATCAGTGACAAATTAATTACATGGTACATCAGTGATTAACCACGGTAAAAAATAGTTATTAACCTAAAAAGGAACTCGTACAGTTGCACAACTCTATTAGTGTAGTATATACAACTTTAATTGGGTTAAAATTATATTCCATCAAGAAAATACAACAAATTGATGGAAATTAGGAAACTTTTAAGTAAGGATTGTCCTTTTAAATTATCATTAAGAACTTGTTTCTTTACAGTTTGATTAATATTTTAACGGTTTGATCTCTTAGTGTTCGTGTTTAAAATTTATACCGCACAATTCATAGATCAAGCAGTTGAAAATTTATTTTTTTTAAAAAAAGAAATTGTATTTTAAATTAAAAAGATACAAACACTAATTCAGACGTAAAATACCTTAACACAAATAGCAACATAGCCCTAATCATATACTGAAACTACCAGTAGATTCAATTGAAACGTGTAACAATACGTAAAGGATCCCAATATATGTGAGTGAAAACTTAATTCAACAATTAAAATAACAATACATGTCACTGGTTAAAAAGCATATGTCCTACAATAAAAATTTCCAAGAACTTAGTATGGGAATTCAACAATTTTCAAGATAATAAGCAATAAAGAATTTTTTTTTAATAATGTTAAGGATAGCAACATAAATTTTAATTTTTTTGTATTAATTTATATAATATGTGAGTTGTCATTTTTTTTTAGTATATGTAATTTTTTATTATTAATTGATGCAATAATATTTTAAAGACTTATCATTATAAAAACATCAACTCGCGTGGTAAATTGGTTGGTGCATCATGTATAAGAGTTAGGATTAGAGTTTGTGTCACTAATATTGTTATTATTATTATTATTATTTTGAAATAGAGGATCTTTTTACTTTAACAAAGAAAAATATTTTTTATTAGTTTTTTTTTTCTTCCTTCGAGCGAATACAATTGCATTGGGATCATAGGACTTGCGTGCAATGAAGAACGTGACGTGGACTGGAGTGGGGCTAATGTGGGAGGGGAAAGTAGTTAAAGACAGTTTTCTAGTTCGAAATGCAAGATTTTCCTAAGAAGTTTACAAAATTTCTTTATTTATTTATTTAGAAAAAAATCAAATGCCCTTCTTTTCTTTATTTATTTATTATTTATTATGCTACATTTAGTTTAATTTCTGTAAAAGAAAAATGGACCATATGTGCTGTCAATTTGTTACTCATTAATAAAATATAAAGTTACTCTTTTTTATCAGTCTCCAAATTTAATGTCAATGGTTTTGCAACAAAAAAAAAAAAAAAAAACGATTACTGAAAACGCTGTTATCAACATTGAAGAGAGAAATAATATGCTCACTTTTTTCTTCTCTTTCTTTTTCATCCTCTTCATTTTATTTCTTTCTTACCAGGGGGAGATTCTCATGATCTTTCTCGGACAGAAATTTTCTTTTCCATTTAGCTCCATTTTTAGGTTTTTAGGCAGATGTGCATTTAGATCAACATTTATAGTGGTCTTTACGCTATTTTTATTTGGTTTTTTTTATTATTAGTATGTGCATTTAGATAAACATTTATAGTGGTCTTTGCGCTATTTTTATTTGGCGTTTGTTATTTTGTATGTGTGGTTTTTAAGAGAAAATTTCATTTCAAAATTAATAAAGTTACATATATACTTAAATATAGTGGTAAATGACCACCACCTACAAAGAAATTTGACTCTGAATATTAATTAGATCTATTAGTAAAAATGAATGAAGTATAAAGACAAACACAAGTGTTGAGACGCAATAAAAAAAAACCTCGTTCAGTTCACATAAAATCGAGCTCAAACAAAACTCATTAAAAAGAACACTACAATTAAATTTAAAAAATTTTATCTAATCAAATATTGATTTTCCCAAAAGGTACGTCTTCGTATCAATCAGGAGAGCTGACCCTACTAATAAAGGATATATTAAAGGAACCGAAAAAAATTTAACCAATGATGCTCTAGGTCCCGTTCATTTCACCAATTTGAGTTTTCAGTTCTAAGTTTCTACAGTAAAAAACTCTCAGAAAATGTCACATCTAATTTTTTTCTGCTACAGTGAAAAGCTCTCAGAAAATGTCACATCTTAACTCGAATTAAAAACTCAAATTCGCGAAGTAAATGAGGCCCTAATTTGTATCTCTCATACTGCATGCACTATTTGATCCCTAAGGATAAGCAAAGGACAAAGGTTGGATTGATAGTTACCTTGACAGATTAATTGTATTTCAATATCATTATTTATGGTAGACTTAATTTTTTTTTTAATGCAAAACTACATTTTATTAACAACAAAGCATAAAGCTTATAGAAACCTCAGTATAGAAAACTTGATGCAACAAATTAAAATCAGTAGATCCGTTGGTGTACTAAGTACAGGGACCCAATGTCTAATAGTGGACACAATTTAGAGCACTTCTCTGGGCTCTTTTAATTCTGCCTTCACAGTTGGCTCTCTCGAATGGGCTGTAGTAAACGCCCTTCAAAGACCGATCTCTAAAAGCCGATATTCTTCCAAATCAAGCTCGCAGAAGTAGGAGATCTATCTAAAAGCATACAGAATATGAAAAACAACAATACTACCCAGGTTTAGAGATTGGTGGGGAAAACAACCAAGCTCAACAAACAAAACCCACACAAGGTTAGAGCTTGGTGAAGGGAACACAACCAAAATTAACAAAAACAACCAACACTCACACAAATATAGAGATTGATGAGGAAAACAAATACCAACACTGGCGGAATGACTACTTTTATTCCACATACGACTAAAAAAAGAGAAGAAAATACCAATATAAACTCAACCATTGTGTAGATTAGTTGGTGTAGAGCGTGTGTGCATATTTTGGGGACCTACTAACCTAGACGCGCTTTTGATAGCCAGCCAGACTGTTCTCCTTTTTTCTGCTCTCCCTCTTTCTCTCTAGAACTCTCTCGTGTCTAGACTTAACATTTTTCATTTGTTTCATTAATTAAAAAGTATAAAAACAACCAACACTCACACAAATATAGAGATTGATGAGGAAAACAAATATCAACACTGGCGGAATGACTACTTTTATTCCACATACGACTAAAAAAAGAGAAGAAAATACCAATATAAACTCAACCATTGTGTAGATTAGTTGGTGTAGAGCGTGTGTGCATATTTTGGGGACCTACTAACCGTAGACGCGCTTTTGATAGCCAGCCAGACTGTTCTCCTTTTTTCTGCTCTCCCTCTTTCTCTCTAGAACTCTCTCATGTCTAGACTTAACATTTTTCATTTGTTTCATTAATTAAAAAGTATCATTTTAGTTTTTAAAAAATAGAGAAATAATATAAGAAAAATGAATCACGTTAAGGTTCTAATTATTATAATTTGAACAAAAGATAGCTAAGTTTAAAAATATCATGTCAATTAATATTTAAAAATTCATCATTCATCTTCGTAGAAGGAAATTTTGTTACATAACGCAAAAATTCCTTTCAAAATTTTTGCATGATTATATGCTCAGACTAAATACTTTTGTGATTTATGAGAATATTACTTTAATTTAAAGGTCTTATTTGTAATTATATATCCCTGTTCACATTAAGACCGGAATTTCACTAGTTTTTTTTTTCCTTTTTTTACTTATGATTACAGTTACAAACTTACAACGATCACTAGCTCTTTTCTTGTTTTTTTTTTTTTTTTGTTATTATTAGAATTGCATGTATTAAAGAAATCAATTTAGAGTTTTATTTAAAATGGTATAAGGAATTTTTGCAATTGCTTGATGAGATATTATCACATTTTTTTTCTAGAAAAAACTTTCATTGAACAAGGGAACAAAAAACATCACAGTAAACAAACGCCTAACATTTCCTGGAAACAAAAACAAACAAACAAACAAACGCCTAACATATTCCAAAAAAAAAAAAAAAAAAAAAAAAAAAATACAAAAACGTGTGGAAATCAGAGGTTGATATCACCAATGAATCAGTTATGGCCAAGAGAAGAGGGTGCATCATGCACCGACTCATGTACAAACACGGTCTTGCTTTCATTCAACAAAAAAAAACTTAAATAGTTCATGTGGTTAGCCATTAAATCTGTATTACAAACTATTTTTTTTTATATATTTAGTCAATCTGATTTAATTTTAATTATATTTAATAATCAACATAGAAAAACCTTGTTAGAAAAAAAATTTTTTTTTTTTTGGGTACACGAGGACAACGAAAATACTTATATGTATTGTATAAGAATAAATACAGCACAAGAAAATCACACTATGGGATTAAGTAGACATAAGTAAAACTAGAGTTTTAAATCCCTTAAAAAAAAACTAGAGTTTTAAAAAGTAACGTATACCAGAATGTACATGCATGGCTATTTAGAATTGTTTGTCTCAACGTTTATGCAAGTTTGAGATATTTTGAAAAAGACACTTTTTCTTTTGGTAAAAGATAATGAAGATCACTTATCAAAAAATACACACGTAATGATACCTTTTCTCAAAAATGAAAAAAAAAACCATAAAAACACCTTTTTAATATTATGCAAAGT